CCCAATGATAAAAGGCCCAAATACTGTTCTATGTAATAATTATCCAATTAACCCGCACCCCAATCCGGAAAACATTCTTTAAGAATCGCAAACAATCATGCGATTAACACAACTACAAATCGCTTTTACGTATCGGTTCTATGTGCCGTGTAAACATGCTTTTTACCGCGTGTGGTCCGATATGCTGGGACAGGGCGGTACGTTATCGTCGCTAACGAGCCATAAAGACGAAGAGGGACGAGAAGGGTCCGGGCTGAGGCCCCTCGCACAAGGGGAGGCTGGAAGGAGAGGGTCCTCCGACCATGTCGCGAAGTTTAAACAGCTTAGAGGGATGTTGCGGCGCCCCGATGCTTAGGGCGCCAAGTCAGCCGGAAACCTCTAATAGCACCGTCTATCTGCGCGGAAAGGAGAAAGAGAAAGGGAAAGAGGGAAGGGTCGTCGTAGGGATGAAGTTCACAGGCGTACTATGAATGCGGCCGCAAAGGTGCTCGTACAGGTTGTATCTCCACGAGTATACGATAACCGCACCCTCGAGGCGAGGGAAATGCGTTCGACCAGGTATTCGCGTACGTCGCAGCCGCAACTGAATTTATAATTTGAGAAGGGGAAAAGGCAAGGACAATGCGCACTCGTGCCTGGGATAATTATTAATCGCGTTACAAACACGGTGCCGACCAATGTGTTTGTTAAAAATACGCGGACATTTTAACCCAGTCAGCAATATTTCCTAAGTGTTTTTCTTTCATGAAATAATTCTGCATAAATAATCACGTGCGCCGTTCCCGGAAGGAACAATGAAATTACTGTGTAAAACTAAGTAATGAGATGGTTCATTTAAGATCTTCTCAAGTAAAATTAAAATATATCACAAAAGGCAGGTGTGATAAAATAATGTTTAAGAGTTTATAATTATAATAGAATATTAAAGAATTAATACGCGCTAGTTAATGTAAATTTAATTTTTCCAAGCAAATTCGATCATTGGACAAAAATTAGTAAATACATAATGCCGGGATTCTGATGTTGTGTCTGTGTTTATATATAACCAAACATAGTAAAGTAATGGATGACCTCGACGATTTCAATTAATCATCCCAGTTATTGCGAGTGTTCTAATGGATATCGTATTACGGAGTCTTTCACAAGGCTTTAATTTCCTTCACAACGGATATTGTTTGATGCGTATGACGCATAATAGACGTATGTATATTTCTCTGAAGTATATTTTTTTCTAAAGACCTACATATAACGTTAAATGAATTTAGTATCTGTTGAAATCTCATTTAAAAAGCCATACATATTTTGCGTACATTATTATATTATGTGGAATAAAATTTGATCTAAAATACATTTCTTGAAATTATTATATTTAATAACAGTTCGATGCCTGAAATTTTTCTTATTTAGATAAATATTGCAAAATAAAAGTGATCATAAAAACAATTGTCAGAAAAAAATTGCCCATTCGCGACAGACGTCTCAAATGTAGCTAAATATTCGGCTGAAATAAAAACATTCATTGAAAAGATCAAAAAGTACACAGAATACACTCATTCTTCCCTTTTTTCCTTTTGCTTCGGCCCATCGACTTTACTTTATACCAACAACGGACAGGTTGTGTTTATTGTGAAAACAGGACATGATCACGCGTGTGTAGATAAGACCACATACACACCGCGAATTCATCATCCTGACAGAGGGTTGATGATTTCGATAATGTCTTCTGAAATCACACGTCGACGTCGAAAAAAGTTGAGAATCGTTGATTTGAAACACTGAGAATGATATAGAATAATAGTTTTAAAAAAATGCGATTAATTAACCTTCATTAATTAAGCAAATGTACTGAATCTTCTATAATAATTATTTATATACTAAAATAATAACTACGTTACTGGAATAATAATTACAGTACTTGAAAATAATATAATATAATTACATATTCAAAATTATTTCGAAAAGGCTACGCATTTCTGGAAGGAAATTTCAACAGTGCAGTCAAGTCCAATGTACCATGATATATATTTATAAACTTGATGAACTATCACGTATCATCATTGTATTTATCAGACCGGACAATATCGCACGCAATCGATGTTATCAAAACTCACGGCTCGTCAAGCCACCCTGCGATGTTCTGAAAATATTCCGCCGCCCCTCCCAAAGACATTCTGCCAGTGTTTTCTCATCGAAGAGACTCGTGGCCACTTGCCAGTCTGTCACTTCGCTCGTCAACCCCTTGCAACGACAGTGCACTTGACTCGTCGCACCTCCCGTCGCGTCTCCCCTCCCCCATCCCCCCCGCTAGTCCCCCCGAAAACGTTCGCCTAACTGCGAAGGTAACGCAAAGTAACGCTCCGACCCCTCGTAGCCTATTCCGGGTTGCCGGCTCGCGCACGAACAATATTTGCAGAGCTCTTATTCTCAACCCCCGTGAGCGGCGGCGCTTCGACCCCCGCTCGCCCGAACCACCCGTTTCTCTTTCCACCCTCGTGTGCACCAGCAACCACCTACCTACCTACCTAATAATGATTTTACGTTACGCCACGCCGTTCCCCGGGGAATCCGACGGTGCCGCACCCTTATTGCACATGGCCCGTGCTCGGTACATGGGGTACGTAGGCAGCAAAAGGAGGGAGGAAGGTTGGAAAGAGAAAGAGGGCTGATTATCATTAGCAATGGAGTCCCAAAACACCCTCGTCGCTGCCTGACGCACGTACGCACGCAGTCGGCACGATGCTCGAGGTCGTGGGAGCAGCGAGATTTGTTCGTGCGTATGATAAAAAAAAGAGAGAAATTGCATCGGAGTGAAAACATGCTCCGAATCGATTTAGTGAGCGTGTATACGAGCTACAACAGAAGCGTGTAGCTTATCAGAGAAATGACGAAACAGATTTCAAGCTGGATTTATGTTTCACTTTCTAATAAATTTCATTAAATTAACGTACGAAATAATATATACTTTGAAAAATCAAATATTTTTTTTTTTTAATAGTATAATATAACCATAATTAACATAAAAAGTAATTATTATTTAATATCTTTAGTAACATATGCTTCACGTAACAATTTTTTTAAATTGGTTCTTTCAAATCACAAAATCACTGTATTGAAAGTACGTTTATTAAATAAAGAAAATTCAAAAAATAAACGAAACAACTGCCCCTCAACCTCTATCGCCGAAAGAGACAGCTCTTTCGAGAACGAAAGATTCCTCCGGAAAAAGAACTCGGACTTATTCTCATTTCACAGCGCAATTGCTGCGACTGTGAACGTTATTGGTCGGCGCTCTCACGACGCCTTTGAATTTTTCATTCTCCTGAATAATGAATTAAATGTTTCATAACGATCCTCCGCATTGGAACGCAGCGGTGTGTATAGGTGGTACACAATCGAGCATAACACGAATCCATGTGTGATCCCGTAGGTCGTTAGAAAAGTCTCCGGAAGTGACCATGGTTTTGTTTCTGTTAAGTCTTTTGGTCGTTTAGAGGGAGGGGGGAGGGCGTAGAATGAGCATCGTAGGGGCGGAGAGCATCGGAGTGACGGCAGAATGGAGTGGCGTGGGGGAGGACAAGGTGATAATTTGATAAGACATCGGGAGGGGTTGCCATGGAGACGATACAAAACCCAGAGCCTCAACTGGAACCCTCCAGGCGGCCTTCTCTCCTTCTTTGTTCTCTGCCTCTCTCTCTCTCTCTCTCTCTCTCTCTCTCTCTCTCTCTTTCCATCCTCAAGAAACCTTCCTTCAAGACTCCGCTCCATCAACCGGGAGACACCGAAGTGTCAAGTGTCCTGCCGCCACCGCTTTGCGATTCCCTCAACTTTTTTATTCCGACCTCCCCAATCACACGTTCGATGCGTTCGACATTGATGCGTACTGTCGAAGATAAACACGCAAAGATACAAGAAAAAAACAACAGTTGCGCTACGAAGATTTAATAATAGTTTAAAATTGCTCTTTAGATTTAAATGCAAAATCATCTCTTTCTTTCTCTCCCATGATACCCTGTATATGAATAATCTAATTCTCATTTTCTGAAGGTAGTTCTCATTATGAATGCTAAAGAAAAGTATTATTAGCTAATTTAATAGCTACATGATTTTTTTATTTTAATTTCCGAAGAAACATTTTTATCATTCAGATACAATCAGTAGTCAAAATATTAACTTCGTAAAATAAGATTACCCACTTGTACAGACACTATATTGCGTCACGGCAAAGTTCCATTCCAAGATTAGGAAGGCTATGATACCACCCCAAATCGTGGGAGCAAGGAACGTGAACGTTAAATACAGAAGGGACGGGGGAGACCCCCGAAAGAGACATTACGATTATTACTGAGTGAAACTCGCAATGTGGGACTCGGCATCCCTGAAATGCATTGGCCACATGTGCTATATTCAACTGGAGCCTCTCACAAGGACTCGGTCCAGACGGTTGGCTGCATTATTTATCGCACAAACTTGCCGGACTAATTGATCCCTTACGTCCCCTCGATAACGATACCCATCGGAATCACGAGTACGATTTTCGTATAACATTCGTGAAAGTTAACGAGCTGTCCAAAAGATGAGATAATTGCGTTCCAAGCGAATTCAATCCGACTAATTTTAGTATTTCCATCCAATTGGATAAGCGATGTAAGAATACCAATGGAATATAGTTTATGTTCATGTTCGTGTGGAACATTAGTAAATAAAATTATTAGACTTAATAGAGAAATTCATAAGTTTATTAATAAAATCGTTGAAATCATTTATGAAAATTAAAATCGACAGTAATACAGTATTTTCATAATAGATATATTTTTATCGAAAATATAGCTAATGATTTATATAAATATTAAAGCATACTAATTTTTTGAGTTTATCATATATTTTCTAATTATACGAAATAAATATAAATAATTATCGAAAAAATTGTTATATGAAAGAAAAGAAATCAATATTTCTAAACTTAATTTTAAAATAAAAAAGAATTTATAGATTATACTTACCGGTGTGAATATACGTGTGCTTCTTCATATCGCTCTTTTGGTGGAATCGTTTGCCACAAAATTGACAAGGGTACGGTCTCGTGTCCGAGTGGATTAGAAGATGAGTGCTGAGTGTGCTGGATCTCTTGAAGGCTTTACCGCATTGCTTGCATTCGAACACTTTCTCTGCGGAGTGCACAGCCCTGTGTTGCGTAAGACTAATTTCGTGGCCGAAGGTTTTGTTGCACAACTCGCAGGCGAATGGTCGCTTACCATTGTGTGACCGCCTCGCATGAACCTACGTAAATCAATATATTTTATATGTATTTGCAAATTTTCATATATTATCAGGCACTAAGATCCGCTTCGAGCGGAAATAAAATTCTTCCTCTTATTTCATTTATTTTTATTTTTCAGTTTAAATATCTCTTATAATATTAATATATATTATTATAGCTAGCAATTTAGGGTAATTCGATATATATGTGTGTGTGTGTGTGTGTGTGTGTGTGTGTGTGTGTGTGTGTGTGTGTGTGTGTG